CCTCTTTTAAAACTGAGGCCACACCCTTCTGAAAGGCTGTGCACATCACTGACTAAAATATATACTGAGAGAGAGACTGACAGACAGACAGACAGAGAATGGGAGGGAGAGAGAGAGAGAGAGAGAGAGAGAGAGAGAGAGAGTATAAAGTATAAAGTTGGAGGAAGGAATGGAACTAACAAGACAAATAAAAAAGAAAAGAGAGAGAGATAAAGAAAGTATTAAAGGAGAAGTGTACAAACTGTTGACAAAAAGCCAAATTTAATAAAAGATGTAATATACAAATCATCTAAAATGAGTAATTATTAACAGTACTTGCCAAATAAGCTCTGTGAATTACATATCAAATAAAAAAAAAATGCTAAATGCATCTTAAAATTAATCCATGCACTTGTTACTATCTAGTGTGTGTGTCTGCCACTGTATGCTAGTATCCATTATGTATTTTTGAAAAATGATAATAATGAATACAAAATAATGAAAATGAACCATAAAATAAGGATTCTCCTCTCATACTCATGCCAACTAAACTGTGATGCATAAAAGAAAAAAAAAATGAAGAAATCCTCCTAGTTTACCCTAAGTCTTTAGAGTCCATCCTTGTGGAGATACAGGAATCCCATGTATGTAACAAAGACAAGTATTAAGAAATGGGCGAAGATCAACACATCATCACGTGATTTTCCACTTCATTCGTTAGAATATATTGTAACCACACAAATCTAGAGCACGTGGGACACTAAAGAGACATGAAAAGAATGCATACTCACACTGGAATGGACTAACGGTTTGGAAGGACTGCCCCTCTCAATTCAACACTGGCACACCGTTATTATGAGTGCATAACTGTTGGCCTCCGTTCCTGGAATTGGGTTGGCAGAAGGATGTCGGATTCTGGTGAACCTGAACAGAAGCTATTTGTGTTATTAATTTTGCAGATTGCATCTTGTCAAAGACAATCAACATCTTATATCAATCAAAACTTTTGCATTATAGAAGGTCCATTCTTTTCTCCTCTTTGACTTTAGTACATAAACCACGATGGGAGTTCTGTGGTCATGAAGTTTAGAATAAGTTTACGTCTAACACAGAAGTTAAATTTTTGACCAACAATACTTTCCTTCAAAATAAGACTACAAGCGATCAGACGCAATGCGAACAGACTCAAATCAAATATGCGATTAACTGATGCGTCACATTTTCTGCAAGAATGGTTTCCTGACATGTTACTCATTGCAAAACTGATCAATTAGGTATTAGCCTTTTATCTTTATTTTCAAGGAAAGACAGAATTTGGATATTTAGTGTGTAAATATGCTTATGGGCAGTTTTGATATTTTTCATGAAGCTTTTATGTATATCAACCTGACCTGGACATTCAATGCATATGCTGGGTGATTATTAGTATTCTTATCATTTGTTAACCATCTCAAATGAAACACGTCTTTATTTATCAATTTTTATTTTTAAGTTTTGTATAGTAAATAATAACAAATATATATGTATAAATATATATATATAACATGAAAACAACAACCTTCAGCAATGAACCTAGCTAAAAAAGAAAGAAAAAAAAAGAAAAGAAAAAAAGAAAGAAAAAAAAAAGTATATAAAAAGAATGAGAAGAGGAACAAAATCAAATGTCTACAATCAAAAAAACATTTGTTCAGAGTAAAATTTTGGGGAATGAATCTCTAGCCAGAACTGGTATGCCGTTTGACAATAAGTGAAACTATTGACTGGACTGGTATGCTAGTAAATCAACAGAAAATTAAATAAATCACAAAAATGAATACAAATGGGTTATTTTCCTTGTGTACGGATATATCTATTAATGAATGCCCTATATAAACATGTGAAAAAAGGCTAAATGCATTAAGTCTCAAAGATAATCAATTGAATAATCCAACAATTCAGTTTGTATCACCAACAGACATTCCATATCAATCTTTCTTACAAAAGAAAACTGTGTATACATACATACATACATATATTATTTAAATATATATATATATATATATATATATATATATATATATATATATATATATATATATATATATATATATATACACATATATATATTATAATATATATATATATATATATATATTATATATATATAATAATATAATATTATATATATAATATATATATATACATATGCATATATGGCAAACTTCCTTTGTTTTGCTCTCTATGGTTTCAAAATGTAATGTTGATATTTGCACGTATCCCTAAATGATCACAACTCATACTTACTTAACTTCCAAACTTGTCATTCTCCACAGTCAGATCTTTCAAACAGGCATAAAACACCATATGTAACATTTCACATGAAACCTTTGTGTGTAGTTTGTAGCTTATAAAGTCAATAAATATTCTCAAATAGGCAAAATTCTATGCCTTATTGACAAAGATGCATTGCCCAGCTTCAAGCAAGCTACATAGTGTATCACCCGAAAAACTCAACACTTATCCATCACCAGATTCCTTCTTTTTCAGAACCACTAAAAGAAAAAATAAGTCAAGCTACCACCTATGTGCAACCTGTTTGGCTAGTCTATAATGCTTAGAACACAACTCTATAAAAACAAATTTTTGTAAAAAAGTAAGAACTCCTGTTGTCATTTCTGGTAATCTGAAAGCAACCTGTACTTTCTCTATAATCAGTATCTCGGAATAAATACTATCACACCTCTAATTATCACATTACACTAGGCACACATACTGTTTATCATAAAAATTTAACCATAGTCATCTGTTCAGATTATATTTTCTTAGCATGTATTATCTTACAACTGAATTTTCCATATTAATATGGTCAGGCAAGAATATAGGAATGTTTATTCAATCTTTAGAAATTTAGCCATCACAGGAGATAAAAGCTATACTCATTTATGCACTATTAAATATAAACTTAAAAAAACACACATATCTCTTTCTATGTTTATCAACCAACTGTACCTTTTGTGCTATAGATATTAATCACTCTATGATCTACTGGTTAAAGTCATGGAAATCACTATGACCATGAACCTGATTCATATGCTCTGCAAATTTCTGAGCACAGTCAGAAGCAAAATCACGCTTACATGACTCTGTATGGGCAATTTGTAAAGTACAAGGAATACCAGACAGTGAACTAAGGCAGTGTACATGAAAGTTACAGTCCGTGCTGTTTTGTTGCCTAATATAAACCTCCCCATTGACAAGGTCACTTTTTCAAATGGCTAAGAGCTGAATACCGGCGTAGCTTCTCTTTACGCGAGAATGACGAGAAGGGATCTAGTGCCTCTTCGTACTGGCTACTATATCGTGATTCTGCTGCAGAATCTTCACTGCTTTGTCGCCCTTGGTAAGACTGGAGAAATCTAATCTTTTCATATAGTTTCAGGTTATCAGCACGAAGATTATCCAATTCATTTTGAAGAAGTACTACTTGCTGACTTTTTCCAGTCAGTTCAGCTTCTAACTCCTCATTACGTTGACGGAAACGCTCCCTCTGAGAAGAAATGATTGGTAAAATAGATTCTGCTGCTGATGAAAAGTCTGGTGGGATTCCTCCTTGTACTGGAGTTGGTGTTCAGTGACTGAAGACTGAGGGGTACCGAGAGGAGGGGTGCTACTTGTAGAAGCCCTAACTGCCTCGGCTACTATTTCTGGCACTGAAGAACCTTCACCTTCACCACGGTACAAAGAGGAAAGGGTCTGGACTGATGAGAGGTCAGATTCAAGGTGTAATATCAAATCCTTTTGTTCAGCAGCAAGAGAACGTAGTGTTGTGAGCTCCTGTTCGTACTCTACTGTCTTTTATTCATATTATATTCTATTCATTTGTTTTAGTGCAGTATTTTCATTCTGCAAAACCTTTGTCTTCTCTAAGAGGAGCACTTCTAGTGGTTTAGAGGAGCTTTCAAAACTGCTCTCTTCTCCGCCATCCTTAGAAATGGAACTAAATTCAACAGACTTCATGATACTCAGTTCCCTTTTGATTTCATCATAATCCCTTTGCTGCTGAACTTTGGCTTCCAAGGTAGCAATGGTATGAGTATTACTTTCCTGATTTTCTTCAAGGGCCCGAATTTGGCTAGAGGAACTTTCCCTAAGAAGATTGAGGGAATTCTGCAGCTGTTTGATATCTTCTACCAATTGGGATATTTCCTTGTCCTTAGATGCCAATTCTATCTCAAGAGATGATCTTGCTAAGGTCTCTGCAGACAGTTCAACTTCATTAACAGAGGTACTCATGACAGACATGTTTTTCTGTCAGTGAATTATGAGCAGCAGTTAAACTCTGAAGCTGTTCCTTGAGCTGTGCAGATTCTCTTTCAGCTATGGTGGCTCTCTGATTTGCCCGCTCAAGATCATTCAACAGGATGTTAATTTCATCTGACCGGGCAAAATTTGACTCTTCAGACTTGCTCTTCAGCTCAAACAGTTCTGATTGGGTCTGGTCCAGGGTGGACTGGAGAGTCTGGGCTCTTGATTCGGCATCCTGCAGCCTCCTCATTACAGATTCTTGTGTCTCCTCTAGCAGCCTCTCCTTCTCAGCATACTGACGTGAAAGCTCTCTTTCCATCTCCTTAATCTTGGTCTGCACATTGTTATCCATAAGATCTTCATAATTCTTTATCTTCTCCTTGAGTGCTTTGATGGTTACATCTTGGTTTCTCACTTCTTTGAACTCTTCATTATATTCACGCAGAGTTTCTCTCAGATTCTTGTTTTCAATTTCGAGGTCAGCAAGACGGCCTATCTTTTTCTCAAGGCCAACACAGTACTCAAGGGTGGGAAGTGGATCACTAATATCGATCACCTTCTTATAAACATTCAAAATGCAGTCTCCACAAACTTGCTCCTTTTATTGAGGTTATCAATTTCACTTTGAAAGCTCTTCAGCAATGGGGCCACATGCTTTCGTACATCCTCTGGGGAGTTCTTCTTGAACTCCCTGGAGATTCTACCAGCTTCTTTCGGGAGTGCTCTGACTCATCTTGACGAGTAGCAAGCTCTGAGGCTGTCTCATCCAGTTCCCTCTGTACACTGTGCAACTCGAAGCTCTTCCAGGCTGCTATGACTGCCTGTACCTTTACTGCCAT